TGCCAGCGTGGGCCTGGCACGTCTGGCTGTGCCACACGCCGAGGAACTGACAACGTGCTCAATGCTAGGGGCAAGGCACTGCGAAGCAAGGTCTGGGCCGAAGGCTGCAGCCGAGCTACCAACTGAAACGCCACTGCTTCTTGCAAGTAATGGCTGAGAGACCGTTCAACAGTCCAACGTCCTAAAAACCGCAAAGTGGAAACGGGTACTCCTGCTTGGAAGAGGTACGTAGCCCCACCTGGTCGTAAGGAACTAAGCCCAAACTTACAAGATCCCAGGTTCAACTCGCCTAGCAGCTCATGCAACATGGACCTGAAAAGGACCTGACTGTATGCCCAAAGCGGCTCTGGACTTGTGCGTTCGCCACACAGGAGTGCCAGCCACCGAGAGGCATTCGGATTGCGCAGCAAAACGAACTGTTGGTAGCCCATCTGCCTGTGATTTTTAGGGCGTTGCAGCCGAATGGCAGCGGCTCCTGCATTCATGGTGATTGAACCAGGCAGGCTGATATCAGCAAACGTCAATTTGAACATTTCTCCTGGGCGAAGGAGGCAAAGAAACCCTATTTCGATTAAGACGGCGAACATCCACCACCGAGCACGGGCATCACGCCTAGAGTTCAGGCCCTTAGCCCTTGCCAGACCCACTAGTATGACCCAAATACCTACAGGCATCGGTGGCCTGAGACGGCTAGCACGGGACTCTTCCCATGCTCTCAACGTGCTCCAGGTTTCCACCAGCTGCCCGCGCAAGCGCGGTTGAAGCGACTGGCACGCAAGAGCTGCGTGCTTGGCTGTCCACAAGGCCCCCCGATTTCCTGTGGCATGCTGTGCAATAACGAAGCGGTGCAGGCAGTCGTCCAACAGTTGAGGCCTGGACAACACGCTTACAAGCGAAAGCTTGATGATATGCCGGAGAAACTGCTTGAAGGCGAAAAACGCACGCGCCAAGCGATGACGATAGGCTTGGGAGTAACTAGACAAGCGTATTTCGACACCAGACACAGCAGCTCGTCTCATGTTTCCAATACGAGAATTCGCCATGCAGAGACTACACACCACGATCTAAAAAACTACTAATTGACAACCGCTACGGATTCAAGCTGGCGTTGAGCAACTGCAAAAGACGGTGCTAGACATGCGCAAAGACACGTGCTGCAGTGTGCGACCTCTTCAACTTGGGCGGTGGGTTCGAGGTGCCATGGACTACTCGGTCCCAACACTCAGCACGAGACCAAGGCAGCTGAAGCTTCTTTGACACGTCTGACTGCAGAAGTTCGCGGGCTTCTTGGAGGGGTGCAGGCGGGGGTATTGCTAAGCCTCTCGAAGGGTGGTCAGCAGGATTAGAATGGGTACTTATCCACACATTGGTAATGCGCTTACCTCCCGCGATTGCCCATCCAAGACATGAGCGCAAGAGCCTGTTGAGTTCGACAGAAGAACTGCGGCCTTTGGCCCAAGCACCGGCCACGACTCTTGAATCAACCAGGTTACAAGTTCTTAAGTTACGAGGACAACGATGCACCAAGTCCTTGAGCTCCTCCTTCACCATACGCATCTCTAGCAAATTGATGTGCGAAGGCTTGTTGTATCGCACCCTGTGAGTTTCGATCCACCTATGCTGCAGCAGGACTTTCTCAATCACTGCAGGGCACATGTCCATGGATGACGGTGGCACTACAGGGGCAAGACTCCAATCTAAACGCGAATACTCTCCATTATGAACCCCTATCCTATACAACAACTGTGCAAAGGCCGGGCTTGTGAGAGTACAAGCTCGTCCGCCTCCGCTGAGGCTGGCATCAGTGCAAGAAATCCGGGCTGCTACTGGCATGCGGATGTTCGCGTGAGAAACTGGCAAAAGGAGAGCTGCCTGCAGCAATTCTTCCTTCACAGCACACGGTAGCTTGAAGGGCTTGGAACCCTCAACTCGGCTCATAAACTTGTATGTCCTCGAAAACACAGACATGCACAACCGGTTGTGGAGAAATGGGTGTACAAACAGACCTGTCAATTTTTGCATGGCTTTCAATGAAACGAAGTCCAAGCCTATAAGAGACTCCACCAAATGCAGAATCTGCTGCAAGCGCCCGTACGGAGCACCCACACGCCCTGAACGTGAGCACACTTCAGTCCCCCAGGCTTTGAAGGCATACTGTTTGGTAAGAGCTTTCTTCTCAGAAACGGGCAACCGAAGCTGGGTGTACTTTTGACGGCTTCTTCTCAAAAGGACCTGGTCGAAGTTGTTTTCTCTAAGTCCTGTTCCTCTACACGGCAAAATCTGAAAAACAAGATGGTCATCGATATACAAGCCCTCTAGAGTACTAGTTGCTGGGATGATCTTTCCGAACTCCAAAGTGTTCTCACGGCTCATGCACTGTGCGTCGGCCAAGATCTGACGGTGCACTTCCTGAGCTATGTCAACGGCATTACAATCCCCCATACACAACACCTTAAAAGCAGCCACATACTTAACCCCAGGTGTCAGCCCCATGTCTGGAAAGAGCGCGCCGTCAAACTCACGGCCAAACACGTTCCTGGGGATCCATGCGGGAAGGTGTCGGATGAGGTAAAAGTAATTAGACAAGTCGTCCCCTGAACATCTTAAAGAAAAACCCTCGGGGATGATCAGCTGCGTTAGCTGTGAGCCATTGGGCAGTCTGGCCCACACAAGTCTCTTCTCTCGGATGTTGAAAGGTCGACGGTCATTTATTAGTCTATCAGACTCGGCTTTATGCGGCACAGCAAACAACCCGCCTGAGACTAACTTACCGTTTTCATACAAGGCTTCAGATGCCGGAATGAAAGTAATCATATCTGCATCGTGCAACTTTCTGAGAAGCTGGGGCATGGATCTAGGCTTAACCTTATGGCATGCTTTGATGTCAGGGACACCCAACAACGACTGAGGTATGTCAGAGGGCATTCGTAAGAATGCCTCGAGCTTCTCCCCG